CGGATCCCCTTACGAAGGGACTGACGAGGGTGTGAAGCATTTGCAGCATGCGAGGCGCATCGGGCTGAGGGACGATATTAGTTTTACAGATTAGATAGCCTTTTCTGAAACTTGTAAAAGTAATCGACGTTTGATGATGAATAAAACTTGTGATTTATATGAGTAAAGTGTTGCTATCATTGTCAATTATTTACTATTGTTTCAGTTTTGCATGTTTTGACTTCCAGAATATTAATTTATTTAAACTTCCACAGTCGGTCATATGTCGGAAGTAGGTAGAATGAATCAAGACTGTCATGAATTGGGATTGTAGATGACTAAAGGTGTTTAGCCATAGCAATGGTTGCTACAACATTCATGAGTACTCATAAGTTATGAGTTGGAATAAACCCACGCTCACTTGTATCACTTCATGGAATTATCTCGAGTGATCGTGAGACGGTAATATCATATAAGTCTTCAAACCTAGAGAATGAGTTGTTACCTATGAGTTGGTTGTGCATTGATTGCACGTAACGTATCAGTAACTTGATGTTATAAAACGTGCCTTTGTGTGCAATTCAATAAGTAGTAGAACAAGCATATGAGTCGAAGTTTATCTGTTCCTTCTAGAAATAGAAGCGATATCTGGGCCCTCGATGATTTTGTGTTGACCCATGTACCGAGCCCGGTCAGAACTAAATTGATGTGTTCAGTTAAGTTCTTTCAAACAAACGGAAATCGCGAAATCGAGAAACAAACTGCTAGACAATAAGTAAGACATTGTTCCATGTATTTGTCCGGCTGATTCATGAGAGCAGAGGATTATATGATCACTTATCTAAAATGACGCTTCATAGTCACAAGAGTTTTCGAGAGCTACGATTGCCGGTTGGTTCCTGAAGTAATATAGGCAATACAGTTATTAGACTTATCCAAGTGGGAGCTGTTGGATAAGGTGTCTAAGTCCATAACATATTTGGTATATACTTGACCCGACCCGGCATGATCCATTTGGTTGCACTTCACCCAAATAGTTATGGATAATTTTAGAGAGTTGTATACTTACGATTTATTAATATATTATAAGTTATAATATATTAATATAAAGTCATGTTACTTAATTAGTTTTAATCTTGAATTAATTATGAATTAATTTAGTGATTAAAAGGAAGACTAATTAAATCATGGGCTATTATATTTATATGGTGTGGGCTAACACTCATTTGGGAATGGGCTAAAGCTTATATGGAAGTCCATGGATGATCCATGGAGCTTTTACCCAGGATCCTTGGAAGAGGAAAATACATGGGTTATTAGGGTTTCACCCTAACCATGTACACTATATAAACAAGCTTATGTTGCATGAAAAAGACACTAATGTGTGTGTAAGTGTGGTGGCCAAAATCAAGAGTTAGTATACTCTCTCATATATTTTTTCCAAGTTTGTGGTGATTTGTGATTTCCATTTGAGGCATTCACATTATTGGTGCTTGGCTCTCAAACTCCAAGGAATCAACAATCAACAAAAGGTATGTAATTCATCTAGTTCTTTTATGGTTAAAAGTACCCCATGCCGTGCTAGATAGGTTATAAACCTTGGAAAATAATATTTTGCATGTATCTTAGACAAACATAGATCCAAGGTTTAATAGGGTTGCATGTACACTTAGGAAGTGTTAGAATGCTCAAAACCCAACACTTCAGAGTATTGATGTGTTGCTGAAGCATGGGTGTGCCACTAATGATCATGCTACACCACTTGTGCATCCTGATGCTCCATTAGGTGGATTGATGCGCCACACATTTTCTTGGGTGTGCCATATGTGTTCCTGATGAGCCATGGTATCCCTTGATGAGCCACATATGCTATGAAGTCCTCTATGATGCTCAAGATTGTTCAAGGTTTCTCACATGTTGAAGATACTTAAGGATTATTGCTTGATGTGCCACAATGATGGTTAATGAGCGATGGTGATCTTGATGTGTCACTTTTGCATCATGATGAGCCACTATGGATCATCATGCTCCATCATGTATGTTGTTGATGCTCATGCAATGTAAATCAAGGATGAATGTTGCAGAAGCTGTTGCATGACGGATTATGATTGGTTGACATCATTCATGGGTCTATGGGCCATTGGGCTTGGCCTATTAGGGTTTTAAGTTTGATCACTTCACTATAAATAGGGATGCTGCTAAGTCATTTGGTGTCTTGTATCCTTAGTGCATATGCCAAATATTTGTTGAGTTGTACTTCTAATCTCTGTTTGAGAACTTTGTAAATAAATAATACTCCCCTACTACCCGTTGACGTATGTCACCTTGACCGAACCACGTAAATAATATGTCTTTTTGTGCTTTTGGTTTCGTGTGTTATCCGTATTACTTCCTAACAAGGATCATCAGAACTTGACAAGTGACATCAAATTTGTTCTGATTCTTGACAAGTATTGCCTGTTTTCCCTAATAGAGGTTAAATGGATCAAAACGAGAAACCAAAACGAAAATGACCTAATTAAAACTCGATACAAACAACCAATATGATAAACACGAAAAAGATAAAATAAAATAAAACTTTAGTTTATTTATTAACTGATAACTTATAATACAAAACATGACAAACACGAGCAACACATATTAATATTATGTCAAAATTTGTGTCGAATTTTGAACTTGAACACTACATGACACGACGTATTTTTTTACACATGACACAAACATGAATTTAAAATTTAATTGCGTCTCAATTTCGTTTCGTATCGTATATTTTTGTCGGGCCGTATCATTATTTGTCACCACTAGAAAATAGATCTAATCCATTGTTCTAACATTATTTATCAATATTACAATATCATTAACCTTAGGAAGTGCTTTCATAAATGAATTCAATTAGAGAATAAATCTAACTCCGACTTGTAATTAAACCTAATTGATATGCTTCAATTGATAATTAACTAATTGAGTCATGAGTCATATTCTTTTTTCAAAAGCTAAATGCAAAATTTGATAAATGTTCATTGAACCTAATTGAAAATGATAGCATCATAATTTGCACTACTTGTAACATTAAATATGAATCTAAATTATGACATTAAGCTAATCATAAAAAATGATTTCCACCAAATCAAATCATATGTTCATAAATCTACAGTTTAGAAACTCTATTGGAACTTCATAAACTTAACTTCAAACTTGCAAATGAATTCCTGCTTCCCAATTAGTAGTAGAATCATGGAATTATATACTAGTCTTAAATCTAAATCATAAGTCTCGAACGATGCTTTCTTATGAAGATTTTGACTTAGGTTCATTAAGACTCTTCCAAATACGTCCAGTTTCACAAACTCTAACAAAAAATAAAATTTCTCTCATCTCTCAAGTTCGTATTGATGCGTTTGAAGAAAATTATGTGGGTTTATGCTCATAAGTTTGGTCTTGATAAAAATATTCATTCAAGAGTTAAATTTTTTGCCCCAATTTACGAATGTTACGCTTTGAAACGTACCTCGCATCATAGTTATATACAAGTTTGTGTATTCCCTCCATTGAACTCCTCATCCAAGGCCCTACACCACCTTTTAAACTCAATATTTGTTTATTTTGAGATTTTCCCGTTAAGGCTAAAATAATTGGCAATGTACTTACTTATCAAAGTTGACATATGTATTTAGATGGTTAAATAAATCAAAGCAACTCTATCTATGATTTTTTTTTCCTGTTGTATATGAGAAGATATAAACAAAACCATATGAACTTTCATAGTATTCTTTTTAGCAACCAACAATAACTACAAACACCAATAATTGCAAGTTCCATTCCAATATTTTCTAAAATTAGAAACCAAAAATTGGGTTCTTGTTAGTGTAGATTTTTGCCACTATTGGAATTTGAGAAAATGTTGATCTTCAAAAGATTTGATAGTGAAACGCCCAACTGTAATACTTCATTTTTTTTGCCTTTTTCTTTAAGAATTAATAAAGAATAGATTTTTCTTCTTCAAACAAATAAAGCAAAAACTCATAATACTCATAAAAAAAACGTCATCGTTCTACTTGTATGAATATGTTATTCATATTTATCTTTTATGAAACATTTTTTTAAAATTATGTTTAAAAGAATATAAAAAAAAGAACAGAAGGTTGTTGTCGAATGTACAGAGGCATGCAAATTGCTCCTGGCATGCAAATAATGTTGGTCATTATCGTAATCCACATTAAAAAGCGCCACCCTCCTTAACCTAATCATTTCATACTTATTTTAGCAAATCCTAACCCCTGTCTACTAATATGCGCCCCCTCACACCTTCTAGCCAGGGGACCATCCTTTTCCCAAAATTTCCATGTTCAGTTCGGTCGTTGCTTCACGCGCCTCCTGTTCTCCTTCTACACATAAATAACAATAATAATATAATAAAAAATATATAAATGTATTATAGATAAATCATTATTCATCAATTTTTTGGAATATTTTATAAGATGGTAAAATAGGAGAACCTAGTTTTAATTTGAGTTGACTGTGCTAAATTACTTTGACCTCGGTCTTATTGTTTGATTACACATAAAACTTGATATAATCAATAAGTAAATAAATACTTTATAACAATATAACCTAATATTTTAGACATTACGTTTTTAAAAAAAAAATAGTTATATCCATTGTTTTATATTTTTAAGAAAGGAAATGGTACGTATGTGTTATTGTAATAACGTCAAATGGAAACCCTAAAATGGTTCAATTTTTACTATTTCCACACATCTGACAGTCCTTTTTCTAGTATAGACAAAACGAGGTACTTCTGGAAATAGCAATTCTTGCCTGGCAATAACAAAAATGCATTTCTATATATTGTTGCTCTACTTTTACACTGTAGAAACCATAACCAAAAACACAAAGAATCTCACTTCCTCTTTCTGATTCTATCTCTCTAAATCTCCAACTGTTTTCTCTTTCTACAAACCGATCTTCTTCTTCTTCTTTGTGATCTTGTTTGATCTTCTGTTACTAATATGACAACTTCAATGGTGATGGAGATGAACCTCGGTGAAAATAGCGGTGTGAAGCAGAGTGTTAATGGCGGTGGAGGGAGGAGGAAGACGAAAGGGAGCGAGTTGACTCAGAAGAAAAACAAGCAGCCTCAGAGAGGTATGGGAGTTGAACAGCTTGAACGACTTAGGTTACAAGAGAGATGGAAGAAAATGACTGAAGTACCCTCACTCCATCATCCTTTTGCTCTCCCTGGTTTCAGTTCATCGTCGTGCACTACTGTTCCAAATCAAAACACCGGTGTGCAGTTCCGCCCTGCGCAAGGTGCAGCTCCGGCGATGTTGTTTCACGGGATCGGAATCCATGGAACGAATCTGTTTTCTACGGCGGAGCATGTCATGGATCCGTCTGTGAATGTTGGATTCCGATTTGATAACTCGAAGGAACTCTCTTCAATCCCAAACTACGTCGTCAAATGTGCTTCCGATGGCTGCGGCGTTTGTCACAAGGTATATAACTAAATCAATACATTCTTTCATTTCTCCATTTCTTCATTTCTAACATCTAAAACAACTTTTTCAAAATCTTCTCGCCAGAAAAAGCGAATCCATGGTGGAAGCAACGCCTGCTCTCTGAATCCGTTCCGTAATCTCGCCGGAAACAACTCCGTCGTCGAGATGATCGACGCAGCTAAAACTCGTCTCTGTTCAGGACAGGTATTTAACTAATCAACCAAAAAGTACAAATTAGGTCTCCAGTCAGCGTCATTAATGGTAACTAATTTACAACGACATATATCTCAGGTGACGGAAGTTATTTCGGTTTACCGGAACGGTGGAAGTGCGATGACGGAGTATGAGTTTTTCCCGGAAAAAGGTGGCAGAGGAACGACGTCAAAAACATGTTGTGGAAGTGGAAGTGGTAGTGGTGGTTCTGTTGGAGGAGGAGCAGTAGCGTTACACGGCGGTGATCGATCATGTGTAACAGCAGCTATAACTGGAAACGAAGAAGGAAGTATTTCCTCCGTTGATCTGTCTTTAAAGCTTTAGTATTATCATCATCGATCATCAGTGGACTCTGATCATATCTTTCACTTTTGTATGTAATGCATGTGATCGAAGCATTGGTGCACCTCCTTTCATATTACCTCTTTTATTTTCTTGTTTTTATTTTATTTTTTTTAATTATGCATATATACAAATGCATTAAGATGCAACCAAATTAGCTGTAAAATGAATAGGTTAAAAACCTATGATTTTGGTATTTTAATGGAATATATATATTCTATATATGTTATATGAATTTAGTTAACAGGTAGTTCATACAGTTGTCATGTGATGTGTTAAGATTATGAATTTATGATATGAATGATTTATTTAAATTGTGGTGGGACAAGATGAAGCTTTTACTGAAAAGCTATAAAACCCTAGGATATACATACAGTGTATATGTATGTATGTATATATATATGTGTAGGAGTGGGATATGAAGAAAGTGAAGTAGGAAGCTTTCTGTTAATGGAGGAGACTTTAAGCAAGAGAGTGGTTGTTTCAGGTAAAAAATGGTGGTAAAGAAAGAGAGATCTGCAGTGGCTGCTATTTGCAGATGATGCAGGAGATGAGGCAGATCAGTGCACTATTGGGATCTCACAACATTTTTTATATGTATTTATATAATCAATAACAATATGGAGTATATTTTATTTAAGATATATTTATTTTAAGTAATATTATCAATTTATAAGCTTATACACACACAAACTCACGTAGTTTATATATTTAAATAAATTTTGTTGTAAAGGGACCAATTAAAATTAATTGAGGAAAACATGCAAAAATATAACCTAAAGAAATGGACAGCTCAAAATGTAACGAAATAATAAATACATGCCGTTATATCAGTTTAATTTTTATAGAGAAAGATGTTATTATCGTAACAAATAAAAATATAGTTTGCTTAATTATATCAAACCCCTCCCTCTATCCCCTTTCTTGATCAGAAATTCTCGCATTGTCACCTACTTCAATTCATCACCTGCTATGGTTTGGTCTCGCACCCTCGTGTGACAAAGCCACACCAGGTTACGTTACATGTGAATGACTAACTTCGTATATAATTGCATAAACTAAAAACTCTCTAAAATGGATTTTGTACACACAAAATTGAAGTACAATAATCTCACAATTCTATTTAAGTCATAAAAGATCGTGGGAAGAGTTTAGTTGATAACATGGGGTCTTCACTTGGGAGGTAAGGAGCTTGAACTACAACTCCTTAATACTAGAAACGTTCTCTATTTGCACAAGACATTTTATCCATTCCAACAACTAGTGTTGCATTAGTGTTGGAGGAAAAATAATTGATGAATATTGTTATTGCATGCTACATGAAACTGTAAAAAAAAAAAAAGCAACTTGATGTCTTAAGTAAAATGTAATTCTTATTTGATTGGATTTTGAGGTATTAAATAATGTATTTCTTATGTAATGGATTTTGGGTATTAAGTAATGTAGTAGATATCAATATTTTATGAGAAATATTAGTTTGTGACATACATCAAAATTGAAGAATTTCAATATTGTATAAGGGTATGGTTAATGGATCGGGTATTCGTTGATTCGGTGAATACAAATATGGATTCAAATATTCAAAACCCTGAGGGTTATTGGAGTGGGACGGATAATGTTTTCAATTTTTTTTTTTTGAAGGGCTTGGACTAAGGGTTATTCACTCCATATTTTTTTGTTATTAGCTTCTTTTATTTGATGTATTTTCCCACTCTTTCGCGGAGTTCTTATCATATAATAACTTTTTTTTTCTCATTAGTTCTCTAAATAATATGCTTGTGCGTAGGTCGTATGTGAAGGCTGCGATGACCGTAGTGTCAGCTCCTCTTGGATAATTTGAAGGAAGCCTCCTTGAATCTAGTTAGGTATTTAGGGATGGCTTAACTTGTTATTTGGAAACATCCTAATATGGAATGGTTATTTGAGTGGAATTTGTGTTGTTATACAAAATGGCTAGTGAAATTTCTTTTTTAGTTGTTCTGAGTTATGGAGGTTATCGGTTGCTAGGCTTTCAAACCATAGGTGTGAAGAACCTTCTAGTATGGTTTGAAAGTGTATACTCCAAAACCTTCGATTAAGCTTTAAGGATTGTGTGTGTGCTTGGTAGGTTTCTACATGATCATTTAGGTATTTTCCATTGTAGTTTTTGAGTTATGATAGGTGAGTTCGGGTTGCATTGTGTAACTCAACAACTTTGTTATGAGTTGTAACATCCCAAAAACACAGTCTGAAAATTTCGTTTAGTTTAATAATAAAAACCATAGTCGATAAACCTCATATAAAATTCATAAGCAATGTATCCCAAAATATTATAACAACTGTCAAGTATATCAGAGTATAAACATCCCAGACTGAACAAATGGTGTGTGCACTGCAATCTTCCCGAGCTCCTCTTTTGAAAACTGAGTACTTGAAACCAAAACTGAAAACTGTAAGCACGAAGCTTAGTGAGCTCCCCCAAACTACCACATACCATACAATAACATAAAAAGCAACTACTGGGCCTTGCCCACTGCATCGGATCGAAGTCCGGAAACTGCATCGGACCGAAGTCCGGAACTAACCAGGGCCTTGCCCTCTACATCAGACCGAAGTCCGGAAACTGCATCGGACCGAAGTCCGGAACTAACCAGGGCCTTGCCCTCTGCATCAAACCGAAGTCCGGAAACTGCATCAGACCGAAGTCCGGAACTAACCAGGGCCTTGCCCTCTGCATCGGACCGAAGTCCGGAAACTGACTGAATATAGCATAGCATAATCATAACTACTAGCATAAACACATATACTGCATACTGCATCGGACCGAAGTCCGGAACACATAACACAAAAACATGCTTGAATCACAAAGACCTCAAGCACACTGAACTACTGCATCGGACCGAAGTCCGGAACTACTGCTAACTAAACGGGCCGACATTGTGGCCGTAGACCCGTTCCTACTGGAAGGAAACTCACCTGTACTGCTGAACTCTGCTGATAATCCTCTGGCTGCTAATCGACTATTCTCTGAAGCGCTGCTCTCCTAGCTCACCGAACTACTAACACCAAATAATAGAACTTAGCCTAAACTGTCCTCCAGAGGTCAACTAAGTCAGCTCTGGTCAAGGTCCTGGTCAAAGTCAACCTTCCAGTTGACTTGACTCGCCGAGTTGTTCTACCAACTCGCCGAGTCCATGCTCCTCAAATCCCAGACAACCCCAACTCCACTCGTCGAGTCTAGCGAGAACTCGACGAGTTCTCCTTCATCTAATCACTTCGGGACTATCTTCAACCGACTCGCCGAGTTGTTCTACAACTCGCCGAGTCCATCTTCATCGGCTAAGGAGATTTCCTTGGACTCGCCGAGTTCCTCCTTGAACTCGTCGAGTACCATGATCTTCATGCCCATCACGGGCACAGACTAGCTGAGTCCTTCTCTAACCTCACTCACTGATCCGACTCATAAACAGAAGGGCTTGGGTTTTGCGACCCGACTCGCCGAGTCCTCCTTGTGACAACTCTATTCTGTCGATTTCAGTCTATTCCAACACTTCCAACTCATAGATCTGGACTCCTTATGCTAGCATTGCACGTAAAGTTGCTAACTTTACGTGCATGCAAGGGGTTTTGAGGCTAGAACACCAAATCCAAGATATAATGGAGGTCTATGCCATGAAAGGAAACCATAGCTGAGTAAAGCTTCTCACTCAGAGCTTCTAGAGCTCAGAAATGCTCAGATCTAATCTCTATTCGTCCTCAAAGGCTCAATACTCGGGTTGGCCTTGGAAATGGTCCCAAAAGTCTCATAAAAGGGACATGAAGAGATCTAAGAAACCATAGATCAAGGTAAGAGCTTGATTACCAGAAAGTGATGAGGAAGAGGGACTCCTTCTGGATCTATAATCACTCCTTAGCTCTTCCAACTCCTTCTTCTTCTTCTAGACTTCAAATCACTCAAGAACACACAATAATAGCTCACACTTTCATGGAGGACACTAGGGTTTTGCTCTGGACAGCAGAGGCTGTAAATGAAACCCTAGAAATGAGAATGAGATGCTTAAATAGGGTGTCAAGTCCCGAAACTAGGGTTTCCTAACCAAAACCAGACTCGCCGAGTCAGTCTCCCCGACTCGCCGAGTCGGTCACTTACTCCGCGACACGGGTCACGCTCCGACTCGTCGAGTTCCTCCTTGGACTCGACGAGTTGACTCCTTTGACTTAGAGCTTTTCTTTCCTTTCCTGATCTTCCTGATTCTGGGTGTTACAACTCTCCCCCACTTAAACTAGACTTCGTCCTCGAAGTCCGCTACGGCCAACTATCCTGCAATCTGCCTTCAACTTTCCTGCCTGATGACTCTAACTCCTGCTGACCACTTCCATTGACTTTCCGTCCGGTCATTCAGACTAATATTAGTTCTTGTAGCTAATCACCTTGAGTGCACTCTAATTCTCAACAATCCTGAGAACACATCTTACCCAACTGACCATCCATCTAGTACTCCCCGGGTACTTATGATGAACATCCTAGGGGCTCACCCTCTTTTCCTTGCGCGTTTTCTGGCTTCCCCAAGACAACTCTCCATAACTAACCATCTCCCCTGCCACTGCGAAGAACATTCCTTTCACGCTATCCATTACTCCAGCCATTTAAATTAGATTTCATCCTCGAAATCATTCCTTACCATTCCTTACATGCTAACTACTCCAGGTTCCCACTAGAACAACCCAATTCACAAATCCACTTATCCCTGCGATTCACTTATACTTGGCCATAACTCAGATAATCGTGCTATGAGTGACTTGCCACTCCCCAAGCTATCCATGAAAATCCAAAATACCATTATCGGTGGAGACCCAACACTGTCTGAAACACTGATCTGCCTGGAAACACTGAACTGCCTGAACACTGAACTGCCTGAACACTGATTGCCTGAAACACTGATTGCCTGAAACATTGAACTGCCTGAACACTGATTGCCTGAAACACTGAACTGCCTGAACAC